TTTACACATAGAATTCTAGCATGTCTATTCATTGATATGGTTTAATCATGTGCTTTGACAATTAAAAAATAGTTGATGAATTAATAAATAACTCTTTTGATTTAAACTATTGTGAGATCACTTCGATGATAAGGGAATTATTTAATCCTCCTTCATTATAACAAAAATCCCAAATCCCACCCCATAATTCAATCCATTGTTTAACATTTTCAAGATTTAATGAGTTATTCCACTCAGTCCAGTTTTTGGTGTATGGTACCTTCCGGACAGATATATGTAGTATATATCGCCAGTCGAAAATAGAATGCTTGGCATAAGAAGATTTAAATGAAGTGAACAGGAAGAAAATAGGAGAGCAATCGAAATAACAACAGAATAAGAGGAATAATGGAATATGTGAAGGCCAAAGAAAAGATGGTGTGCAAATGATATATTTGATGTATGGTTTAGAAATTTTATTAACTATCTGTGTAATTTTTCATTGATTCACATATTGGTTTTCTCCATCTGAGTGTTCGTTTGCTAAATTGGGTATCATTACCTAAGAGGAGGAGGACATTGGATGTAAATTGCCCGGTAGGGTGATGAACCTACAGAGGCCTGTGCGCCGGGGAATCCAGTATTTAGACCAAGATCGTGGTACAGACTGTGACAAAAATGAAAGTGGCACGTGGAGTACAACAACCTCAGGAGCGACCATACAATGGGGGAAGAGTGAGGTGGATGCCACTTATGATGGCAGATATTAGTAGTTTGTCGCAGCATTCTGAAGTGGAATGCTCGCCAACAGAAGAAGGAATTGAGAAGAATAGGAAGGGAAACAGGTAGCCATTGGAGTAACAAGAGAATTGAAAGAATCATGAAACATGTAAAGAACAACTGAAGGAAAATGTACAAATAATGTGTTTAATGTATAATTTTCACATTTTATGAAGGCACTCTGTAATTATGCATTTAGCAGTTAAGTGGTTTTTCCCACGTCAGTTTTCGTTCACTACGCAGTAAACAAAAATTCACCAAATATTTGAAGACGACTTTCGCGACGAAGTTACATCATCTGAAAATTCTTTGAAGACGAAGAATATTTCAATGTATTTTCTAATTCTTCCATACCTAACATATACGATTTCACCATTGATCCGACCTAAAGCCATCATGTTTTGTAGTTAATGTTACCTTTAAAGCTTCGAGTTGCTTTTTGATTTTTTACATTACCAAGTTTAGTGAATTTACAATAAATGGCAATTATTATTTATTATCAGCAGTCACTTTCGTATTCGTAAAGTTCAGTTATCCAAGAGAAATAAATAAGTTCCATTGCTTCGTTAACCTAAATGTTGTTTAATGTGGTATGGCAACTCGAACTGATGTACGTACGTACAAAGTTCTACGTTGTGACTGACTGACTGACTGTTTAATCAACGAAAAAAATAGTGAAAATGCAACTATCATAGTCGCTTCATCATCCTCTAGAACTAATAACCAACTGATTAAAGTCAAACAACAGTCAAGTAGTCAGCAGTTATGATGTCAACTATCTACAAAATCAGATTCCATACTTGTTAACCCTCAAGAAAATACTTTGCTCCAATTTTTCAGTTCAGTTTCTAGTAATATTGTATGAATCTTTTGTCTCAATAGGCGTTTCATTAAGTTAATATACTCTACAACTATTATTGTTTTGTCACAAACCTAATTATATTTTCATTAAAAGATCATTCAAGTGTTACATTTAGCTAAGGACAGTCTCAAATGTCTAGTCTACTGAACACATTAAAAGTGTATTTATTACTACAGTTAAACTGACAGTTCAACTTCTTGTATGAATAAAATCATGGATGGCAAACTTTTGTTTTATTCTGCTATACAAATTTCAGTAATTAATCTTAATAACAGTTTCATTCAACAAATAATAACTAAAAAAAGAAAAAAACTTTTTGTTTGAGAGGAAACAATAAGAATAAAGCACATCACAGTAACTTAGATCGTATTAATGTCAAACACTTTGCTTAAGAATACAAATTGACTACATACGAATATAATTATCTAGACAAGAAGTGGTTTAATTAGTATATCATTTCTTGATTGAATGACATAAAACTGGTTTTTAGAAGGAGATACTATTCAGAACATTTTAATCAATGATAACATTAATTCACAGTACGTGATAATTCATTTTTAATACAAAAGTAGAAGCCGATAAATGTCATTATTTGTTAGGGTTTAAAAAGAAACTTGATCCACACACTTTCCATGATATGGAATAATTAGAGGAGTTTTTCAAAAAATTCCATAAGCATAGCAACTAACAAATGTAATTTTATGCAGTAATAAATTAAACTATACTCAATAAAGATCTGTACTGGGAGTTTAACCAAAAAATCTACAGTTCAATGAACTGTGCTTCAATAAACAACTATTACTGAGTTTTAGAGAACTAGAGTTGACAAATATTTTAGATAAATATTTGTTTATGGGCGTTGTTTGTGGAGATTATTTAAGAATTGTTTTATATATAGTTGAAATCATGAGTCAGTTGAGGCTAGACCACTATGAAAAACCTGGAAACACTAGACGGCCGTTTCGTTATATTGTGGGTCTCCTCAGCAGTGCGCATCCATGATCCCGCCTCACGAGATTCGAACCCAAAACCTATCAGTCTGGCGCGCGAGCACTTAAACTCTAGACAAATGAGCCGGCATCCAACGGTGTTAATGTCTAGCTTAAACCAATCCACAAAATTGAGCGATCATTCATCAGTTTCTTCAGTGAGTTAATATCTCCCAACTGACCTGGTTGAACTCCACGGGTTATTGCTCCTCACAAGAACTTCAGGAAATACTTCATGGAGCCAGTCACTAGTGAGCATATGATAAGGGGGTTTGAATCTTGCTAAGCGGGATCATGGATGCGCACTGCTGAAGAGTCCCACAATAAAACGAAACGGCTATCCAGTGCTTTCAGGTTTTTCATAGTGGTCTAGCTTCAATTGACTCATGATTTTAATTATATATAAATCTCTGTTCAGCTGTTAGAAAATTTTGGGAAATTTATTCAAAATATTTTGTGAAAAATCATGCAGTATATTCATAATACATTTACTTTCAAATTAGTTATATTATTCTTACTCTATAATTATTGGACTAATTTTTTTAGAAAAAATAACGAGAAATCATACTTTGCAAAAGTAAAAAAGAAAAAGTTACTCTAAAGACACATTTCATACTTACTGCTTGCAAATTAACTTTTTGTCAATTAGGCAAGCATAGAGAACAGATGCAAAACAGCTAGAAACTTCAAATAAAATATAAGTCATATGTATCGAATAACTGACAAGTAAGATAATGCTTCTTAATTATATTCGTCAGTGTTTCTATACACTGTAGATTAAACAAAGACATCAGTTATCACGTATCCGAGCTTCTATTATGGACTGAACTGAACGATATTTGTAGTAATATTGGAAAATATTAAATAAAAGCGAATGATCTATGACCCAATAATTTATAAACAATCATGTTATGAAGATTCCTGGAAATTATTCCGACTGTGAACCATTAGTACCAAATAGTATGAGAAAGTAAATTAGAAACAGTTTTCAAAAATAAGTTTATATTTCATAAGTAAATCATATTGGATAGTTTCATATGAAAAAATGGAAAAATAGTTGAATGTCGAATTGATTTTTCTGTAATCTGAGCCGTTTCAATGATAAAATAAATACTAAGTAATTAAAGTGAACGCGTCATATATATATATATATATATATATATATATATCGCAAGATATTCAATATCCGTTGGCCGGATACTATTGGCAACAGCCTTCTGTGAGAGAAAACAAACCAAGTTACAGCTGAAAAGGAAATTGGCAAATGACATTGGAATTGGATAGGACATACATTACGGAAATCATTAAACTATATCATGAGACAAGCCGTACTTGAAATCCTGGTGGGAAATGGAAAAGAGAAATGCCAAAGAACACAATACCTCAGGAAATAGAAGTAGATATGAAAAGGATGGATAGCAACTCGAAAGAACTAGGAAGGATAGTCCAGGACAGGGTTGGATGGAGAATGCTGGTGGACATCCCATGCTCTTCTACGAGGCATAACAGGCATAAGTTATATATATATATATATATATATATATATATATATATATATATAAATTAAGACCAAAAATATCATTCATGAATATCGTACTCTATGGATAAATATTCTATAGCAATCAGTTACATAAGTAAGGCATTATTTTGCTAATAATAGTGGTATATTGAACGAAAACTCAAGTATAGCAAATCAGTCTATATATATACAAATTGTACATAAATATTAGAATGCAAACAAATCACAATTATTTCTATGAGTGATTTGACAATATCAAGGGGGTATTATGAACATATACCATTAGTCAATATTACATAGATTACATCATTTATTTTTACTTTATAGAATATATGCACATCATTTATAGATTGAAGATCAAAATTTTCCCTGTTGTATTAGATTACAATCGAATAGTTTTGACCTCGTTTCTATCTACTCGTTGCATCATTCATCAAACATTCATGACAGAAACTAACTAAATAATAGTAATATATGTACTACTGCATTCCTAATAAGTTTCCACTTATTTTCATTTATTCGACATCCAATATGTAAAGAATGAAGTCGAGAGAGTAATAAATATCAACAAATCGCCATTATACACATACGCTTTTTCTCTAACTAGAATAATAATTTATTACACAGTCAGTTGAGTGAAAGTAGTGAAACATGAAAAAAGAAAAAAAAGGAAATTGTAGCCTAATGAATTAAGAATTATTTTCATAATTAATGGCATGTTATTACATAAGCCTTTGAAAATCTATATGTACACTGTGGATTGAACTGAGTATCTTTCTTAAAAAAAAACCAATAATGTAACTGTATTCATTCACATTTGAAATCAAAATAAATAGTACTTTAAAAGATAAAATACTGTATGCAAACTTACCGACAATGATATAGGCTATTATGAACCATATAAGTAGTAATGATTGCATTATCCTTTGTTCAATTTTAGTCCATTTAGTACAAATTTTTATTGATACATAAATTATGTCACTTTACACAAGTGATAATAATAATAATATTAATATGCAAGCGTGTATAATATGGTGATAGTTTGCTTCAGGTCATGTAAATTGTATACTATTGAATAGCATATTATCAAATATTAATGACGATGAGATAAAATATCTAAACATTTAATTGTATATGTATATAAGCCAGAAAAGAACGTGCTATATCCTGTTACTTGATATAAATATGTACGTATGTATAAGTATATCTATAAATATATATATAGATATATATACATAAATTATATATTTGGCTAACATAAATATTGGGGATGATGTATATATTTGACATGTTTGGTTGGTGGTTAGCCAGACAGACAGGTATAATAAATATATGTGACCTTGTGATTAAAAGTGTGTACATTCAAACTTCAATGGTATTCTTATTATTATTTTGATTTTTTTATGTGAAAGATATTTAATTTAAAAGAATTAAAACTATATAAATATGATCACAGCCTTCCTTCTTTTTGTTTTTCTAACAAAGGAGTTCAATAACGGATAGGTTATGGGTATCGCTCAAAATTTGATTGTTTGTTTGTTTATTTTTTGTAGCAGAAATTAATATTTATCATTATGACTCAAAATGTATTGTGTAATTGACATGAAAATTATTAACCAATCAAATGATGATTAAGGTTAGATATTGTAGGCTTGGCCTGAAAAATTAATCGTTGTCTAGACTATATGAACTTATTTTTTCATAAATTTAACTTAGTATTGTTTGTTTGAATCTTCCCATCGATTTGTTAGGACTGCAACTGGTCAGTCTCTAATTGGCATATGTGCATACTGTGCGTATTGCCTCGATATACCTTAATTCACAAGCATGGTTAGCAGAGATGGATAGTGGCTAGCAGTGGAATCCAGGACGCACGTTTCGTCCTATTTGGGACTCGTCAGCTGGATGTACCTGCATCTCAGGGTTGATGTTCACTCTGGGATTCGAACCCAGTACCCTCGCTTCAAACGCCATCGCGTTATCCACTCGGCCACTGAGTCCTGATAGCCACTTGCTTGTGCGATGGGGTGAAGTTTAAATACAACTTAGTATTGTTTGTTTGAATCTTCCCATCGATTTGTTAGGACTGAACATCAACTCTGAGATGCAGGTACATACAGCTTATTTTTTCATAGTTTTAATGACCTGAAAAAGGAGACGAAAAATTAAAATTCATTAAAGGAAAATACTCGTGATTGTCTTTATATTTTTTTTATTACCACAGATGTGACTATTTGTATTATACATAGTAATCGATATGAGAAATGGTTAACATAAATAGTGGTAAGGTGTTTTCCTTCAACTAACAGAGTATGAATAGATGCTGAGAAGTTTCGTACGAAAAGTTATTTTTGCATTGAACATGAATTATCTTATCTATTTGTCTTAGTTAGACAACTTTTATCTTCATTATTATCTTTGAAAAGCACTTCGTTCCGTTGGTTACTGGCTATTGTCTTAATCAACAATAAAATAACACTATAAAAAACAAACCAACCATCTCAATACATCTAAATTTTCTTTCACGTAGCGAACATGCAAAACATGCAATCATAAGTATTCGTTTGAAAATTTGCATTAGTGGAAATAACGGTTATGAACAAATATGTTTACTAAATAATTATAAATATTGTTTCTCAGATAGAAACATCCTATCCAAGGATACCGAATAGTTGTTTAAATATTTATTTTAAGTGATCTCATTTTCATGGCTGTATATTACTTTATACAATTCTTGATTGATAACTTATATAATGAGAAGTAGACTTCTACAGATTATTTTCCAGAACTTCTCAACCAAAAAAAACTACTTTTGCTTTTTCTATTACAATTTCTGTATCATTTCCGATTCGTAGAGTTGATCAAGATAAGCGTGCGACAATTATTGATAAGATTGGAACAGAATTTTATTACAAGACAAGTTTATTTAAGTTGAAAGGATAATCTAATTAGTGGACTATTGCTATCATACTTGAGCTGGAGGTTAATCAAAATTGGAAAGTAGGAAACTTTCAAGGTATTTCAGGTGTAGAACAAAACAAACTTTCAATGAAAAAATGAACTCTCTCACATGAATTCACCAATAATATAAAAATAAACATATATTGAATCATATGTATCGATGCCAAGGTTGAACTTGACAATATCAAATAAACTGAGCATTGGATAGAAAGTTAATAATAAACATTTCTTCTTTTTCGTTATATCCCAATTAGTAGAAAAAAAATGTATTTCTGACGTTTCTTGATCTAATGTAAACCACTTTCTCAGGGTAAATAAATGACTTTTGTACTATTTAAACTGGTGTTAAATTATTTCAGTTATTTATTTACTCTGTTAAATTACTTTTGGTAGACTAGATTTGCCAAAAATTAAATATTCACTAGTTATAATAGGTTCAGTTTAACTAAATAAATACAATAAAATAAAATTTCTCGTTAATATTCTTTCGTCGGTGGTGATCATTAAGTTTCTGATTGAGATCATGAATCGATTGATGTTAGATCACCACTGAAAACCTGCAAACACAAGCCGGCCGTTTCGTTCTATCATGGGACTCCTCATTAGTGCGCGTCCATTGCCCCCTCGTGGGACTCGAACCCAGGACCTTCTGCCTCGCGTGCGAAAGCCTAACCTCTAGACCACTGAGCCGGCATCCAACGATGTTAATGTCTAGCCTCAACCAATCCACAAAATTGAGCGACCATCTTCCATTGTATTGTGGTAGATACCTGTCTCTACCTAACATGGATTAACTCCACTGGTCTCGCGACTGGGGTCGTGGATGCTGAGTGGTTCTATAATAGGGTCATCCAGTGCTTCCAGGTTTTCAATGGTGGTTCAATATTGATGGATTCATGATCTCAATCAAAATATAAAACTTCATTTAATTGAATGTAATCTACATAGTCTTGATGAAAATAGACAAGAAGAACGTTTTTATATTTATATTTATATACATATATTTATACTTTAGTTTGAAATAATTGAAATATGTGATAGTATGTTACTAACCATTCGTTTATTTTTAAGTAGTTAATTTTTGTGAAAAATTTACTATTTTATGGTATTTATCATGAAATAGATAAACTATTCGTTATTATGAAGAAACTCTAAATTAAGTTATAACATTCTGGAAAGATAAAATAATTTATTCATTTTTACTTACTTATGCCTGCTACCTGTCACGGAGGAGCATGGGCCGCTTACTGGCATTCTCTGTTCAACTTTATCCTGAGCAATCCTTTCCAATTGTTTTCAGTTGCTATTTATTCATTCACACAACTAATAGGGTTTGTTTTAATTTGTTCAAAGAATCTTGTTTTATTTAACTTATCGATAGGTGAGATTTAATTAGTGATCTTTTTGTTATTGTAAGGATGTGTAATTGACTACTTTATCATAAAAGATGTCACATTTCTTGACTTATTACGTTTGAAGCAGATACGATTAATACTGACAATACGGGTGTGAATAAAAATACATTCACCTATAAATTAGATGAATGTAAATTTTATAACTTATGAATAGATTTTTTTCTACGCATAATCTGACATAAGTGATGTAAATTTGTTTAGTTGATTTCATTAAAACAGAACAGTTAACTATTGAATAATTGTCTGATTTGTTTTGGATATGTCCGTTTATTAATTCTATTTTACACTGATATTTGAGCAGATAGATTATTCTAGAATGTATAGAAAAGTGTTTAATGGTAAATTCATTACACCTCTAATGAATCAATCATTCATTCTTTCATTGACTGTTATGAAATAAAGAGGATTTATAAAATTCACTGAGTTTCTTCTCTTTACATGGTCTACCTTATGTCTAACAGATCAATTTTAATTTGAATGATATTATGATCTAAACTTTGACAACTTAAATGTAAACTGATTTGTTCATCCGTAAATCTAAAACATTCAATGATTGATGAATCAATCATTCTATTTTTAATCCTGCATTCTGTATACCATCTTAATTATCTAAACATTGGATGATTCGTGTTGTAAAATCTGTAGTTAGATTCACTATCATAATGGACAATGAGTGTATATTAAGGACGAGTAAATCTAACGAAACAATAATTTGATTTTTAATATTTATGAATAAGACTTCAGTCTATAATGAAAATTACATTCTACCATACAGACTACATTAAAAACGAGTTTCTATGGAAAATAGTAATTAAAGTATGATCATTTTCAATGCAGAAAAGTTAATATTTTAAATGATGACTGTACATATCAACATTTAGCATTAATTTTTACTCATAAAAAAGTTGTAACAGGCTAATGACCAAAAACAGGAATCTTTTTTTATTTCAAGACATAAAATATATTTCGAATTAAGCTAGAAAATACAATTATCTACCCCCTTTCTTCGGGTACTACTAATAATAATAATAACTCAGAAAGTAGTTGCCAGGGCGGTCAGGTTTTTGTCGAATGACATACAGTTGCAACAACTGTTGTATGTGTTTGCTTAATTTTATACAACGTCATGGGTAAGGTTTGAGTGAGTAAATTTACTCGATCAGTGAGTAGCTTGCAGTTTCTTTTTACATAAATCATCCTATTTATTTTAAATAGCAACGTAGTGGTGATATAACTCATTTTTGAGTCATAATACCAACATTTTTACTAACTGATTTATCGTCGTTGATGTTCCTGATGAATTGAATAAAACTGAAACTGTGAACGGTTGAATCTCACTTCTGCAGTCTAAAATTCAACGTGACAGCTGTGAGATAAAATAGTTTTGGTTTCGATTCCTATTACGGTTGTCTGTTTACACGGTAGATGAGTATAACAATGTTCAATACATCCTGGTTTTCAGTGGTATACGAACTTTATTCACTTCATAATGCATATATCACTTAAGAGAACTAACTGATTTCCTGGATTTATATAGTCAACTTTTATGCTACCATCCTTAACTCCGCCTGTAGCTCCTCCGGGAGCTACTGCCATTCATAAGCCCGGGTAAAGGAGGAGGGTTGGGCATGGAGTTAGTGTCCCCATCCAGTAGAAAACCAACTCGCTAAAAAACGCTGACCACAAAAAAACGTTATCCTTAATATTATAAAGATTAAATTCACTTAGTATTGTTTGTTTGAATCTTCTAATTGATGTTTAGGACTGCAATTGATCAGTCTCTCATTGGCATATATATATATGTATTGTTTCGATATAGACTAAATTCACAAGCATTATAAGCAAAGATGGATAGTGACTAGCAGTGAAATCCAATTTGACACGCGTGTCGTCCTATTTAGGACTCGTCAGCTGGATGTACCTGCATCTCAGAGTTGATGTTCACTGTGGAATTCAAACCCAGTATCTTTAGCTTCAAACGCAATCGCGTTATCCACTAGGCCACTGCTTCCTAATAGCCACTTGCTTGTGCTATGGGGTGAAGTTTAAATTCTTTTAGTATTGTTTTGTTCGAATCGTCCCACTGATGTTTTATAAAGATTGTTTTACAGTTTCCGCTGAATAGTTTATGAATCAAAAGTTAGTAAACAA